GGTAAATGTAGACATATTGTTTTCCTTGTTACAGAATAATTTATGAAGTTATTTTGAACATGCCGCGCACCTACATACGTAAAAGGGCAGCAGCCACCTATTCTACGGAAGAGCTTCAAGAAGCTTGTGAAGCTGTTCAATCAAGGCGCATGACATACCGACAAGCTTAAGATCACTATGGCATAGATAAATCCGTGATATACCAAAGACTGCATGGAAGAAGAACCTCTATGAACAAAATCGGTGGTGGTAGGCCACGAGCCCTTTCGGACCAAATAGAGGATTAGTTGGAACAGTGTGTTTTAGCCCGAGGAGAGTGGGGATATCCTGTAGATCGGAATGAATTACTTGATATTGTAAAGGAGTATGTTGAAACTAATAACATTAAAACCAACTTTAAAGATAATCGCCCCGGCGAAGACTGGTACCTTGCCTTTATGAAGAGAAGACCTCAGCTAAGCCTCAAAAAACCGGAACAACTACAGCAAAAAAGAGCTGAAGCCGCAGACCCATTTGTAATTTTTGATTTTTACGAAAAATTAAAATCACTTATTCAACGAGAAGGTCTTCAAAACTCCCCTGAATTGATCCTAAACTGTGATGAAACAGGGTTCTGTACTGACCCTAGCAAAGTAAAGGCAATTGGACTCAAAGGACAAAAGTCATTTTATAGGAGAGTGGGTGGTACAGGAAGGGAAAACATTTCTGTCCACTGCTGCGCATCAGCTTCAGGTAGAGTGTTACCACCACTAGTTATTTTTAAAGCAAAAGGTGCCGTACAGGCAAGTTGGACAAACCATGAAGCCGAGTTTCCAGGCACTGTTTATGCTACAACAGAAAACGGATATATGGAGGAGCCAGTATTTTTCTCGTGGCTGACTGATAGTCTAATACCATACATTAATAACCTGCGACAAATACAAAACACTCAAAAGAAAGCAATACTTATTATGGATGGCCACAAAAGTCACATAAGTCTTAGAGTGGTAAATGCGGCGATTAACGCAGACTTAATATTACTGAAACTACCCAGCCACCTTACTCACCGCATGCAACCATTAGACAAGTGCGTCTTTGGACCTTTAAAGACTGGCTGGGAAAAAATTTTAGTTGCATATGGTCGCAAAAATTTACTTGCTAGTTTTAACACTCTAAACCTAAAAATCGTTGTTGAACTGTTGGCAAAAGCCTGGAGAACTTATTTATCCGAAAAAAATATAATTTCGGGATTTCGCGAAACAGGATGTTTTCCAGTAGACTCCTCGAAATTTCCTGAAAGAGAGTACGATCAAAATAAATTAAATCGATATAAATTCCTCCAACAACAACAAAAACAAAATAATAAAAACAAACCTGCAGGAGAACAAGAAAATATTGTTGAAGTGCCAGAAGATCAAGGTGAAAAAACCACGAACGAAGAAACTGTACCACCTCTAGAACCTGACAATGACTTGCCTGAACTTGAAGTTTTACAAGCACCTTCTACTTTATCCCAAAATGTGGTTTCACTACAGCCTTCGATTTCTCAAAGTAATCCTTTACAATCAGAAAGTCTGGCTCCCCAAGAATTAGATAATAATAAACCAACAACATCCGATGGTCGAAGATCCCTTATGACTCCCCAAGAAATCGATATTAATGAACCAACGACATCTGACGGCCGAAGATCCCTTATGGATGTCTTTTTGAATAAAATGAGAAAGGAATTTGCCCCTCCAGACAATATACGATCTAAAGAAAAGCAAATAAGAGTAAAAAAAGAAGCTTACGGCGAAATACTAACTAGTAAAGAGGTGAGAAAAAGGTTGAAAGAAGAAGAGGATAGAAGAAACGCAAAAAAAAGTACAAAAACAAATCCTACGAAAACAACAAAAATAGTTAAGAATGCAGAAAATAAATCAAAATTTGCCCAAAAGCAAACAGCAAAGAAAAAGAAAAAAATTAGTATTGAAGAATCTTCATCTGAGTCCGACCCAGATGACGATCTTTTACTAGCAGTACAGAATCTCACATCAAGTGATGATAACAGCATAACTGGGGATCCCTATGATGACAATATTGATTTCGAACCCTGTTGTGCCAACAAAGAAAATAGGAATGCAAACTCTCCAGAAAGTAAGCGGACAGTCTTAAAAATTGGTAGTTATTTTGCTGTTGATTACGTCTTTAAATGGTACATTGGTCGTGTCAATATCATCGAAAATGACAAAGTAACCATGAAGTTTTTAGAACGTATTCCAGAGGAGAAATTCAGATGGCCAAAAAGGGATGACATTGACACGGTTTCACAGTCCGCATGTTTTATGGGACCTATCAAGCTTGATGGTGTTCATTCATTTACACTAAATCCCAAACCAACAGATATTCAAAAACGATGGTTAGATTTTCAGCATAATACGGGCAAAACATTATGCTAATGTTTAATTTAACTTTTTTATCTACCCCTTTTTACAAAATGTTTTGTATTGATAATTAGAATAATATGTTTTTTGTAAGTAGCTTTACTTACCAAAGAATACCAATTTTTTTTATTTATTTTTAATATTAGGTAGGTAATATTGTTGACAAAGTGTCAGTTTTAGTTTGAGTTTATTTTATGTGTTGTTTTAAGTTAAAATATACTTTTAGTTTATGTTCCTTGCTTTTGATTCATGCACACCCTATCTTAAAAGTTCTGTATCTTTTAAATGAAAAAAAAATATATTTTTTTTTAAATTTACCTGCATATTAGTTATGGTTCATACTTTGTCTCCACTTATCCCAGTTAAATTAACGTTATAGTATAAGCAGTAATCCGTGTTGTCTCCATTTACCCCATTCGCCGGGGTAAGCGTAGACAAAATACGAATTTAAAGAAAAATTGCACATATTTCCAGGAGGTTGGTTTAGGTTAACCATTTATATACAGAAATGATCTTAATACCTTAGATGGTACTGTAGCAATTTTAAACATTTTACCCATGGGGTAAGTGTAGAAATTTGTCTACATTTACCCCACCTCCCCCTATACAATTATTGATTTTCATATGATGGCACTGGTAGAAAATTTTGCCCTAATTATTATAAAAGAATTTTAAGTAATGGAGAGCAAATTTTAAGAGACTGGCTAGTGTACTCTGTCTCAAAAAATTGGGTGTATTGCTTTTGCTGCAAAATTTTTGGTTGTGTACTTAGCTCCCTTTCAGTCCCAAAAATCTCTTCTATAGAACTGAACCTAAGATTAAAGTGTTGCAAAACTATAGATGCGTATTCCCTAAACCATTGGCAAGAAGTGCTTTTAAGAATCGTAGCAATCACTAAAATGCTTGGTAAAAATTGTCTGGCTTTCCAAGGTACAAACAGTAACTTCTTCAAAATAGTTGAGCTGCTATCTAAATGTTATCCCATCATGGAAGAACACGTACTTAAAAAATAAGAAACGGAAGCTCACTATCTTGGGAAAAATATTTAAAACGAGATAATAGACCTGTTGTATCAAAGTGTGAAATCTTATATTATTGATTAAATAAAAAAAGTGAAATATTATTCGATAATTTTAAATTGCACTACTGATATTTCTAAGGTGGAGCAAATGACTCTTGTAATCATGTATGTTTCAATCAATAAAACTGATTCCAATCAGGATGATAATAGACCTGTCGCATCAAAGTGTGAAATCTTATATTATTATCGAAATAAAAAAGGCAAATATTCGTTGGGCAATTCTTCTAAAACATGTCCAGGTTTTGACTTTAAAACCATTAAGTGATACTAGATGGGAGAGTAGGATAGAGGCTTTAAAGCCTTTAAGATTTTATATCGGAGGCGTATACGACGCCTTGCTAAGCATTTATGAGAATGAGGAAATTGATATCTTAATAAGGCACGAATTCTCGGGATTTATAAATATATTAAACAATTTAAATTTTTTTGTTCAATAGTTCTTTGGTATAAAATTTTAAACTGTATTAATCCAATAAGAAAATATTTATAGACAAAAATTATGATCTAGAATCTGCACTTGATCTTTTAAAAAATTGCAAAAAGTTTTTTCAGGATCTTCGATCGGATAAATCTTTTAATGAAATTATTGTTAATGCGAGAGAACTGACTGACGAAATTGACGTTGAAGCCAATTTTGAATCAAGAATACCACAACACTGCGTGAGAAGAAAAGAAAAGGCTATTTTTTGTCAGAATCCTTTTAGAAATATGCCTAATATTCTAAATATCTAGTTTGCCATGGGACAATAGGGTTCCATTTTGTTTAAAACGAAATTTCTTAAACAATGAAAAATGTTTTATCTAAATTGATGCATTTTTATATTATTTACTTTAATAGAAATAAAAAAGGTCGTATTTTTTTTTGATACCGTTAATATTTTAGAAGATATGAATTTTTAAAGTTTTAATAATCAAAATTTTGACAATTTATTTCGTTATAAGAACACTTTGTTATGTAAAACAATTTTGTGTGTATTATATTTTATAAGATTTTATAAACTATATTCATTACCTACCCCCAGTGCCCTCCCGAAAATCTGCCCTTGGATTCCGGTAGAATCCCCCAATCAGGCTTAGCTCCAGCAACTGGTTCCCTTTAATCAGGCTAGGGCTCCAGTCTCCTTCTTGGGGTTCGCATGGCGGCACTGAAGCGCACTGTACCACCATTTGGATGCCATACTTCTTCCCACTCATCTTACATTCATTCAACGTCCTCGATGATTAACCGCTAGTCGGGCCATTGGTTACTCATCCAAGATGTGACCGGAGACATTGCTTAACTGCTGCGAGAACGAGAATTGATAATAGTGTCGCGCGTAGCCTCTCCGACATATACTGACTCATTATCTAAAGTGTCTTTGTTTTGAAATAAACAATTGTATTTTTTTCGATACATATAATAATTGTTTATTTAAATAATCTTAATCAGATAAATTATTTTGAAAGATTAACTATTTTGGAAATCATAGGCCTATATAAACATCATCATAATATTTGATTAATTAATACTAAAATCATATTAATACCTACTACTGTGCACTTGTATATTATATATGTTTTTTTAATCTTTAAGTAAGAGGCTTTCTTGAGCTGGTAAGGATATCATTTTTATGTTTTATTTTGTTTTGAGGACAAATTTTTGAATATCTGATTATGTACAGTAGGCTGGGCCGAAATATGCATATTTTAAAAAAATATAAAATGTAAAAATTAAGTTTACAACACCTATCAAAACTCGCATTCTGCTGTGCTTTCTTTTCGTAATTTTTTAAAAATTTCTTTCAGCCTTCTACCGCCCCCTTTACGGGTAAAAAGTTAAAGTTTGAAGTACAATACCTACTGAAAGTTACATGTTAGTGTTTGTATTCACACTCTTTATTTTTAATATTTTTAAATAACATCTTCAGCCCTCTACTACCCCTTTTAACCAATACCTTCGGTCTTTAAAAAATAAGGTAAAAATTACTTGAAAAATAATTAAATATTACACAATTAAAACTAAACAACACATTTATTGAAAAAATTGTAAAAAGTACCTAAAAAAATCAAACATAGACAGCTAACAAATCAAACATAAAAGCTTACAAATCAAATATAAAAAGCTAACACAAGTACAAAAAACTAATAAAAAAAACATTTTGTACAACTGTCAGAAAAACTTGACATTTCTGCATCTCTATTGATGCGTAAATGTTTACTTTTTTTACCGTAAAAAAAAAGACTTTTATTCACTGCCAAAATAATTCACAAAATAAACATGAAATATTACTTTTTGAAGGATTTAGTCAATTATTAATTGATTATTCATCATAAAAGTATTACACACATTACACCAAAATTCTTGGACCCCCTCGTAAATATTAAAACGAAATATTTATCATGGCTGCTTTTTTGTACATTTAATCTTTTAGTCCGGGATCCGTAAGTAGTGTCGACCTTCACCCATCTGTTTAATGGATAAAAGTTTTTTTTTATTAAATAAAATATGTATTTAAATATACCGCAAATAGGTTGCCTAGGAAAATACGGTCACGGCCATTTTTTACTTTCCTTTCTGTGTACAGATAAGGAAAGTATAGGAATCATGATAAAAGTTGCTTATGATGTCATTCTCTATTATTTTGTTCCTATACATGATTTCCCTAAAATGGACCTAATTCGAGATATTTGAGGAAAAGTGCAAATTTCGAATTTTGAAGATAACTCAAAAACGGATAAAGAGAAAGACACCAAATTTTAAACTTAAGCTTCAATCCATCCTAAGGTGAGCTGATTAAAGTTTAGGTATAGTCAAAGCATCTGGAGAATACTTTACAGGGTGTCGTTTTTTTTACTTTAAGAAAATAAATAGTCTGGACTGTATTTTCTTAGGCAACCCATTTGCGATATATTTATAAACACATTTTATTTAATAAAAAGAAACTTTCATCCATTAAACATATGGGTGAAGGTCGACCTTACTTCGGATCTTAGACTATTTATTTATTTTACCTTTGATACGCATCTAAAAATCTTTACAAAAACAATTTCTCACAATTTTAGGTAAAAATGTTTAAAAAGTGGTTTATATCGATTTTAAGTGTTTAAGTGATTGAGTTTTTCTTTGAAACTATGCCTGGCAATAAAATTTCAGTGTTCAATAGAGCAAGAATGAGGCTTTGCATGATGAGGGTCTGCCGAATCATCGAATCGCAGATAGACTAGGGATTCCCCGCGCTTCAGTTATCCGAATAGTGCGTTTGTACCAGAAAACTAACAGCGTTGACTGGAGACGTGGGACTGGGCGTCCTAGGGTAACTAATCCAAGAGAAGATCGGTATGTAACAGGTTATGTACGTCGGAATCGAACCGTAACAGTTTCAGCTGTCCGACCTCATTTTAGAAGAATGTATGGTTGATTCATTTCCAGTGCCACAATACGGCGGAGATTTGCTGGAGCAAATTTACGATCTAGGAGACCATTAAGAGTCTACAGTAAGCACAGGAACACAGAGACTGGCTTTTAGCTCAGTGGCGAAATGTTCTTTTTTCGGACGAAACCAGATATGGTTTAATTAGTGATAGTCGGCGACACAGAGTTTGGAAAGGGCCAGGGCGACCAGAAAGACTGTCTTTTGCCAGAGAAGTCGTTCCATACCAAGGAGGAACAGTAATGTTTTGGGGAGGCATAATGCATGGTCGTCGTACGCAGCTTATTCCCATTCCAGACACTATGACAGCTGATAGATATGTTCGAAACATTATTGAACCCATTATTTATCCTCTCCGAAATAAAATTGGAGCCAATTTTATTTTCATGGATGACAATGCTAGGCCCCATCGCACGAGAAGGGTACAAAATGCACTAGAAATTCAGAATATTCAAAAATTATCGTGGCCAGCAAATTCGCCAGATATGAATCCCATTGAGCACATGTGGGATTTCGTTGGAAGAGCAATCTCAAACAGAATTAATCCTCCTATCACCTTCCAGGAACTCACAGTCGCGGCCCAAGAAGAATGGAACAATATACCGATGGATTATATTAACACCCTTATGGTTTCCATGTACAGGCGAGTTAATACCTTACTACAGAACAGGGGAGAACACACTGAACATTAATGAATTTTTGATTTCGCTCTGAAGTGGTTTTCTTCTGCAATTCAAATTCTAGTAATCATTTTATTATGCACCATTTTTTGTTTGTATTTTTTTCTTGTTCAGTTAAAATTTAATTCAGCCAATTTGTATTGGATACATAACCAAATTAAAAGTACTATGTAACACACTTCTTGACTTTTAATAATAGTGTCTCATTTTGACAAACATAAGGGGGTCCAAGAATTTTGGCGATGTGTGTATTTAGTTAATTTGGACTTATTTTTCTCAGACAGGAAAAATTTTTGAATACGATTTTACTGAAAACATTGAATACTATTTTCAAGACAACAGTCGTTTAAAAGTGATAACTTATCGGGACAAAAACCACGTCAAAATGTATTGGAAGTATTTGTTTTTAATATATTTCAGACGATGTAAATTTACATTGACAGTTTTACAAAAAATGTTTGTATTTCGTGTATAAAATTCGTGTTTTCATGGCACATTCGGGAGAATTTTACCCACTTAATACAAAAATAATTATTTACTGAATTTTAAACTGTCGTTTACTTTCAAATGTTAGTATAATTTCTTTTGATTTTATTCTTGAGCGAATAAAGCCGTCTCTGGATTCTGAACCAATTACTAAAGAAGATGACTGTGTAACTAATTTTACGCATCTCTCTACGGATTGAATATGGCAAGGGAAGTTTAGAAAATCAAAGTTTAGAATTTCGGTTTCGTTTATAAGGTCCCTAAGTAAATCCTTTAAAACAGGAGGCGGTGTCACATCGCACTCATTTCAGTAAATTAACTCAAAGCAGTCTGTAGCACTAAAATTAATTTTTGTTACCACAAAGTGTCTTACTTTAACAGTTTTTCAAATGGTTCCTCTAGCTTTTAACATTCTTCATAGAGATAGTTCCCGAACCCATTCACGAATGTCTGTTAGCATACACAAAATAAATGTTTTCGGGGTGTATAAAATACGTGTTTCTTTGAATTACCATATCCATAATATTTTTTAAATCATCTCTTACATACCGTCAGAGTTCAATCGTTTTAAATACATCCAAACTACCTAGACCAGAGCATACTGGTGCATTCGTTTGCAAAATTGTTTTAATTCGTAATTTTTTTTTAAATATCCGGAAGGCTTGCCTAATTATAAAAGTGTAAGATGACACTCGATATTTGTTGATGTTATTGTTTAAACAACGAAAAATTAATTAAGCCAGAAAAAATGCATTTTTTGCAATGAATTAACTTTTTTATATATGATCCTGCATTATTTATATGATTTTAAACATTATTTATCATTATTATTATTATTATTATTATTATTATTATTATTATTATTATTATTATTATTATTATTATTATTATTATTATTATTATTATTATTATTATTATTATTATTATTATTATTATTATTATTATTATTATTATTATTATTATTATTATTATTATTATTATTATTATTATTATTATTATTATTATTATTATTATTATTATTATTATTATTATTATTATTATTATTATTATTATTATTATTATTATTATTATTATTATTATTATTATTATTATTATTATTATTATTATTATTATTATTATTATTATTATTATTATTATTATTATTATTATTATTATTATTATTATTATTATTATTATTATTATTATTATTATTATTATTATTATTATTATTATTATTATTATTATTATTATTATTATTATTATTATTATTATTATTATTATTATTATTATTATTATTATTATTATTATTATTATTATTATTATTATTATTATTATTATTATTATTATTATTATTATTATTATTATTATTATTATTATTATTATTATTATTATTATTATTATTATTATTATTATTATTATTATTATTATTATTATTATTATTATTATTATTATTATTATTATTATTATTATTATTATTATTATTATTATTATTATTATTATTATTATTATTATTATTATTATTATTATTATTATTATTATTATTATTATTATTATTATTATTATTATTATTATTATTATTATTATTATTATTATTATTATTATTATTATTATTATTATTATTATTATTATTATTATTATTATTATTATTATTATTATTATTATTATTATTATTATTATTATTATTATTATTATTATTATTATTATTATTATTATTATTATTATTATTATTATTATTATTATTATTATTATTATTATTATTATTATTATTATTATTATTATTATTATTATTATTATTATTATTATTATTATTATTATTATTATTATTATTATTATTATTATTATTATTATTATTATTATTATTATTATTATTATTATTATTATGTAGATAGTATTAGATTTTATAAACCTTAATGTTACCTTAATAGGCTAAAGGTACGAATGACATTTATAAAAATTTTAGTACTCAGGTGTTTTAAAATAATATCAACTTTTACAAAAATATGAATAGAAACAATATATAGAGATTAAAACATATCAC